AAGATATTGGCTGCCTACTGGCTTAGCAATGGATGTGCAGAAGATGATGGTGGTAGTGGTGGTGGTGTTGATGATGATGATGTGTGTGTGTGTCTCTGCCTCTCCACAATCAAGTGGGCTCTGCATACCAGGTCTTTTTAATGCTGTTGGCTAAGTGTGAGAAAAGAAGGTGTGCTTGCTTAAAAGCTTCCAGGAGAATGGTGCTTGCTATACACGGACAGAAACTGTTGGCCAATAAAGTGCACAAATTACAAACAATTCTTGTGCCAGAAGGGGGTGCTGTGGAACACAGACTGGTGATTTGAGGCAGGGTGCAAGCACAAATCTAGGCAGGCACTGATTTGAGAGGGGTGTCTGGTAGGTCAATAATTGGGGACTGGGTGGGAACCGGAGTGGAGTTGGGACATGCATATGCATTCTGAGGCTCTGTGGGTGTTTGGATGAGGACCTGGCCAGATGCCAGGAGATATGTATGATATAAGAGGGGAGCACAGAAGCCAGGACTAGACAAGGACAGGAGCTTAAGAAACAGGGAGAAGAAAACTGGGGGGCTGAAGTGCAGCTTTGTCTATGGGGGGAGGCAAGGGAAGCACTGAGCCATGCAGAAAGACCCCCTAGGACTTCACCCTTCCTGGAAGGATTTTTGTCATTATTGTTAGGGAAAATTTGGTGGTGGTGTTACCCCTGCAGCCCACAAGGCCTTAATTCTAAAGCCACACCATTCTTCATCTGGCTCCCAGAACATTGTCTCTCTTGGTTTTGCTTATCCCTTTGGCCATGCCTTCCCAGCCTCCTTGGCTCGTTTGCTTCTCACCTCCTCCACCTCTCATCCTTGCAGTGTCCCAGGACTCCTGTGCATGTCTTTTTCTCTTCTCCCTCTATTCCCTCCCCCCAGGTGGCCCCATCCAGTCGTGCGATGTTGAATGGCAGCTATGCACTCAGAAGTCCCCTGCTCCTATTTGCAGTGCCTGCTTTCCTGGTTGCTACTCGACATTTCCCCTCGACACCAAACAACATCTCAGACTCAGCCAAGTTCCCATCATCTCCTTGCTTGAGCCCGTTCCTCCTGGTCTTTAGAGTCTCACTCAGTTTTGGCAGCTCCATTCTTTCAGTTGCTCAGGTCCAAAACCTTACATTTATCCTTCAGTTTTTCCTCTTGCCCATTCTTGCTACAAATCCCATTGGCAGTACTTAAAAACATAGATGCAGAACCTGGTCACTTTCCACCCTCTCTGGTCCCACCCTACTCTCGCAAGCCTGGATCACTGAGGTAACCTCCTGAGTGACTGCCCTGTTTGTTATTAACATGGCAGCTAAAGTGCTTCCTTAATTTTTCTTTTTTCAGAGACAGAGATCTTTCTTATGTTGCCCAGGCTGGTCTTGAACGTTGGCCTCAAGTGATCTCCTGCCTCAGCCTCTAGAGAAGCTGCAGATACACGCACAAGCCACCATGCCAGGCTTAAAATGCTTCTTGTAGAACATGAGTCATAAGTCCTTCCACAGTTCACTACTTTCCAACAGTCCCCAGCTTATCCCAAGGAAAGCCAATCATCACAGTGGCGCACATGGCCCTTCACAAGCTCCCCCATTGCCCCTGTAACTTCACTTCCTACCACCCTCCCCATTGCCCCTCTGTCTTAGTCACAATGGCTTCCTTGCCATTCCCCCAACAGGGCAGGCACACATCTATCTTAGGGCCTTTGCCCTGGCTTTTTCCTCCCTTGTCTTCTTCAGGGCCTGACCCCAAAGTCACCTTCTACTGACACCTTTTTAGACCTATTAAAGGTTACAACCCTATCACTCTCTCCAACCCTGCCTAGCAACCTTCCCTGATTTGTTGCTATTCATATCACTTTACAATCTTGCTATGTATTTTACTCCCCCACTGGAATGTAGGCTCCTTGAAGGCAAGAAACTGGAACATTTGGTTCACAACTGAATTTCTAATACCTAGAAGAAGGCCTGGAACAGTGATGTGCCTGACAACAATTTGTTGAGTACATAAAATTAATTTTCTTGGGTCTTAATCTATGCTGTTAGTGACCAGTACATTCTTCTCTCCCTTTCTTTTCCCTCCCTCCCTCCCTCCAGCCCTCCCTCTCTCCCTCTCTCCCTCCCTCCCTTCCTTCTTTCCTTCTTCTTCCCTCCATCCCTCCCATTCTCCTTCCTTCCTCTCTTCCTCCTCCTTCATCCTGTCTTCCTTTCCTCACGTCTCTTAGCTCCCTCTTCTCCCTTTCTTTCTTAACTAAATAATGCTTACTCTACCTTCAATTTCTGTAGTGCATTGTAGTTTGTAACACTCTTTCACATAATCTCATCCAATATTGGCAATAACGATGGGAGGCCGACTGAGCAAGGCTTCCATCCTACTATGATTTAGGGGTCAACCTGAGGCAAAGGAAAATGAAGCAGATCTTCTAGATGGCCCACAGTTGATTCTCTGCTCAGATGCAGGGATGCTTAACTCTAGTTGTGCTTCATGGTTTTCAGTCCCCTAACAGCCTTTTACCTCCAGTGACTACATCTCTCTGCTTCTCTGCCCTGTACATGCACAGTTGAGCACAAGTGCAGCTCAGAGGTACAGGGGAGTTAATGTCCTTAGGGCAACCCTGAAGCATGAGGGATGAGAGTTGGTAGATGTCATAGATTGAATGTTTGTGTCCTTCTGAAATTCATGTCAAAGCCTTAACCTCCAGTGTGATAGTATTTGGAGATGGGGTCTTTGGAAGATGATCAGATTTAGATGAGGTTATGGGAATGGGGCCCCCATGATGGTATTAGTATCCCTATAAGAAGAGGAAGGAATGAGACAGAGTTCTCTCTCTTTCTGCCATGTGAAAACACAGGAAGATGGTGGGTGTCTGCAACCCAGGAAGAGAGCCCTGACCAACAACCGAATTTGTGGCACCTTGACCTTGGACTTCTAGCCCCCAGAACTGTGAGAAATAAACATCTATTGTTCAACCCCTCCCAGTTCTTTAATATTTGTTATGGCAGCCTGATGGACTAACACAGTAGGTAAATACCCAACCTCTCTGTCCTCAGGCAGGCTAATTCTAAGGCATGTTGCATGGGGTTTCTGGAAGGTTCCCTGGAGGGATTGAGCCCCAACTGCCCACAGGGTAATGTCCTCATTAACACCTCTTTTATTGTCTTCCATCACTTCCCTTCCTCATTTCCCTGATCCCTTGCTGTGCTTCCTGGGATCACCTCCCAATAAAACCACCTGCATCTAAGTCCTTTGTGAGGCACCTAACCTGATGCAGAAGGGGACACCAGGGTTTTCTGATGATACTGAGAGGCCCTTCTGTGACCCTGGACAAAGGCCCAGATGTACAAATAAATACAGGACTCCTATTTACATATGAATTTTAGATAAACAACAGATACATTTTTAGTGTAAGTTCTGTGCAATATTGGAGGCATATTTATACTAAAAAATCACTGTTTATCTGAAATCCAAATTTACCTGGGCATCCTGTATTTTCTCTGGCAAACTGAATCATGGCTGGAAAGAAAGGTGAACTAATTAGGAACCTGGAAATGATTACAAACGCCTGGATTTTGTGTCATTATGGGCTGGATAAGGCAGATTTGTGAATCTTTTAACCTTTATCATACCTAATCTGGGAATGGTTTGTATCCCATCATCCTCTTCAGCGCCCTGTACAGCTAACTAACTGTGTGAGGACAGTCAGGGAGAAACATGACTCAAAAAGGTTAAGGAAATGACCACAACCCTGGGGTCTGTTCCCTGAGGTGAATACTCTTGTGACCTTCAAGGCTGTGGCCATACAACATTTCACAGGTGGCCATAGAAGGAGTAGCAGTACAGAGCGCCAACAGCAGAAAATGGAAAGTGTTAATCACATTCCTTTCTTTGGCTGCCATCAGCATGACAACAATGAAATTGTGCTTCAGGGGCAGGGGGCCCAGTCAACCTGCTATTGGTTACTTCCTCACAGGGCCTGGGTCCCAAGACTGCATAAGTACTGGATACTAACTCTAGGCCTCACCCTGCTCTAAGTACATCACAGAGATTAGCACATTTAATACAGCAACAACTCAAGGAGAGAGGTAGAACCTCACTTTACAGATGAGGAAACTGAGGCACATTGAGTTACTCAGCTCTGAGATGGAAGATCCGGCATCCAGACCCAGGAAGTGTGACATGGGTGATGTCACTTCTAGTCATTGTGACACACTCCTCAGAACTGTTCTTGGGACCATGAAATAGTGCATATAAAGGACCCAGCTCAAGGTCACTGCCCAGGTGGAGTCTGAAGGTGTCCATTCTTGATATTGTCATTATTTTAATATAACTCTTATCCTCATCTTCTCTTATGCCCTAAAAATGACAGTTAGCCCAAGAGTGATGCTGACTGCAGAGAGGCCAGGCTGGTCTGTTTTCCTGAGGATCCCTGGGCAGCCCAGATAAACTCTTCAATCCCTTGATTCCCTTCACCAAGACTGCAGTCACCTCCTGCCTCCATCTTGCAGGCCATGAGTTTATCATACAGCCAGAAATAGTTGCCGGGTCCCCTGGAAAATAAGCCTGCAAAAGAAGCCTGTGAAGCACAAGCTCCAGGTAGGAGCAAACCAAACAGCAACCTGTACCCTGGTTAGACAAAAAAGCCCCTCTGTATTCGATGTCTTATCAATGCTGACATTGGGTGATGGAGTGGTTTTGGTTTTGGTTTCTTTTAACAGTAGCTTGGCTGTTTCGATAAAAGCTGAATTCAGATGCTAGGCCAGGCACTTAAAGTAGAATCCACCCACTATTCCCTGACCTTTTACAACTAGTCATAGAGAAGTCCTGACTTTGGGCTCCAGATCTCCCTGTGTTCAGGGTACACCCATGTGGCCTCTGCCTTGCCCTTGTCGTAAGTCCTAGAGTGTTGCTAACAGGGGGAAGATAAGGACACCTTCAGGGTGGGCCCCTCTGTATGCTGTCAATGCCCCACCCTGTTCCCTCAGCCTGTTCAGGCTGACTCCTAACTGCCAGTGTGTGTGTTTCTTTGCCTGATGGCTTTCTAGAAACTGTGAGCTGCCACTCTGCCTGTGCACATGAAGGAATTACATGACTATTGCAAGCTAGTGTGTAAATAGCCCAGCTCCATGAATGAGATAACATGGAGGTGTGCATTCTTTGCCAGTGCTACTTGAAGTGTGGTCCCTAGACCAGTGACAAGCTGTGAAATGTTTATTGCTTGTACATTTCAAGGTACAGACACAAATGGAAAGTTGGTGTTTAGGGACATTTATAGCAATTTGACATTGCTGTGACATTTTAATTGTATTTTTACAAAAGTATCCATTTATAATGGATTGATAACAACAGCAGACAACCTGGTTCTTTCCCCAGACAGCTTGAGAAGCACTGTTCTCGCTGGTTCCTAGTTTCCCTAGTGGGATTAAACTCCAGTTGCCCCCACGGTGCCAGCTGGCTTGATAATGCACCTTTGACTGGCTCCCTTTTGTTCCCTGTCTCACTTTCCTACTCTGGTATCAGTGTTTCTTGCATTTCTCAGATAAACTATTTGCATTCATTTCTTTGTTTTGGGGTCGGCTTCTGGGGCAACCCAAACTCAGTCACCCTCCCTTGTATAAGGCTGCCCACGCTGCCATCTGCTGCCTGGGGCATGCCACTGGTGGCTCATTCATTTTTTTCCCCAAGGAATTAGGTAGCCCATTAAGGATGATAAAGTTATCTGCCCACCTCTGCATTTCTTCCTGCATCCATGGCCTAAGGTCATGAAGTCACTACCTTCAGCTTTCTTTGCCTTTTCAGAATAGCACACTGGCTGGAGCTGACCAAAGACACATTTTCAGACAGTTGGCAGCCAACAATCGTCAATATTCTGCTTAACCTTCAAGATAAAGGTCTGAAGCATGCCCCAGGCAGCAGATGATAGAATGGGTAGCCTTATACAAGAAATGGCGTCTGACATTGGGTTGCCCCAGAAGTCAGAGCTGAAACAAAATTTATAGGCTAGAAAGACCAGTTAGAAAATCCTGTTCTTTTTCGGAAGCCCCTTTTTCATGCATATGGAATGCTTTTGTTCAGACACAAAACACCCAGGCTCAGTCTGTTATGCCCTGAATCATTTTCCTGTGGCTCAGGGCCCCCCTCGACTTGAGCGCTATTATCCCTCTGCCTGTTAGACCACGCTCTCTATCCCTGGGCTTGCTCCTTCGTTGTTTACGGATTTCTCAATCTGCCTGCTCAGGCTGAAAGAGACCCTTCCGCCCATAAAAACCCTGTGGTTCTAAATCATTTCTCTCTCTCTTTCACTCAAATCAGTTCCCTGGACTCTCAGAGCCTGGAACTAAAACCACCTTGAAATCCAAATTTTTACTTCTCCATCTAGCAACATAATTTTACCTTTGGCTTTTTTGGGGTATTTATGCCGACACTTTAGACATCTCTGTTGGCCACCAGTTCTCAGGGCTTGCCCTACTTTAGTGGTCTGGAGTAGAATGATTCTCTTGAAGCTTTTTACATATTTTGCAAATAATGTCTGTCCTCCAGGCTCGCCCAGGCTGGGGTCAGCAGACCACTTGCACAACCATGCACACTGGCTCTTAGGAACGTGTTCAGTTGTGGGGTAGGGGCTTGCTGGCACTAATGTACATCCATTTAGAAATCCCTCAGTGAGAATATGGGTGAGTCCAGAACCATGTCAGGGACTGTGGCCAAGGAATGTAGCTGTTTAAGTTTGGCGGGGGGAAAAATGAACTATGATCAGTAAGAGCTACTGAGAGGCAGGATAGGAGGAGGGGTAGAGGTCAGACTCTGGAGCTGGCTGCCCGAGTTTGAATTCTGACTCTGCGTGACTTTGACAAGTAATCTAACTTCTCTGGGCTTCACTTTCTTCAACTATAAAAGGGTGATAATAGGAGCCCCTATCTTAAGGGATTGTCTTGAGGATTTCACAAGTTAATCTAAATGAAGTGTTCATTGCCTCAAAATGTTAGCTGCACTATTACTATTAATACTACGACTGTTCTGTGATAGAACAGTCCTAGTATTACTACAACTGTGATAGAAGTAATAGAGAGAAAATAGGAGTTAAGGTGAACTTTGGTAATCAGAGAAGTCTTCCTGGAGGAAGAGGCTTGACTTAGGCATGGAAATATGGGTAGGATTCTATGAATTGTGATCAGAGGTTACACTAACAGACTATTTTCCAAAGATGGTAGCCAACGATATCTCCTAAGCCACAGACCCTTCTGCAATGTGACTTTGACCCTCCTCCCATTGAAAGGTGGGGTCTGTGTCCCTTCTTGAATATGAAGTCGGGGGGGGGGGTGATTTATGACTGCTTTAATCAATAGAATCCAAGGGAAATGATGCTGGGTGATTTCTGAGACTGGACCATAAAAGGCCATGCAGCTTCCCCCTTATTTGCTATATCACTTTTATAGGAGGCCTATGAGCTCTGAGCTGCTATGTAAGAAGCCTAACTATTCTGAGGCTACCATGTTGTGAGGAAGCCCAAGCTATGTGGACTTCCTTCAGTAGGTGTCTGCCTGGCAGACTTTGAGTCCTCCCAACCCAGGAACTAGACATGGGAATAGGAACCCTCAGGTGATTCCAGATTCCACTCCCCAGCTGCAAGTCACCCTTAGGCTTGAGGCTTCCAAAATGAGGCTTCTAACATTCTAGAGCAGAAACAAACCATCTTTGCCATGCCCTGTCTGAATTTCTGACCCACAGAATCTCTGAGCATAATAAAATGATTGTTGTTTTAAGCCATTAAGTTTTGAGGGTGATTAGTTACTCATCAATACTGCTTATTATATGCAGTGAAAAGGCAGCTCTAATGGCAGGGTTGGCACGAGTAAAGTCACTGAAGAGAGCACAGTGAGAAGTCTGAGGGTAAGGACAGCAAGGAAAGGGGACAGTGGGGCCCATGTCCTGTTCCTTCCCGCCCCTACCCAACACCATCTCACCATCTAGAGTAGGTAAATATAATGAAAGGTGATTCATGATAGTTCATGAAAACATCTGTGCAAATTCTAAAACATCAACTCTGGTTCAATTCATTCTCTGACAGGGTGAAAGTTGCAAAGAATATTGCAATAAATAACATGAAATGTGTATTGATATGGTTTGGCTATGTCCCCACCAAAATCTCAACTTGGATTGTATCTACCAGAATTCCCACGTGTTGTGGGAGGGACCCAAGAGGAGGTAATTGAATCATGGGAACTGGTCTTTCCCTTGCTATTCTTGTAATAGTGACTAAGTCTCATGAGATCTGATGGAACTATCAGGGGTTTTTGCTTTTGCTTCTTCCTCATTTTCTCTTGCCACTGCCGGGTAAGAAGAGCCTTTCACCTCCCGCCATGATTCTGAGGCCTCCCCAACCATGTGGAACTGTAAGTCCAATTAAACCTTTTTGTTATTGTTGTTCCCAGTTTTGGATATGCCTTTACTAGTAGCATGAAAACGGACTAATACAGTGAATTGGTACCGGTAGAGTGGGGCGTTGCTGAAAATATAACCAAAAATGTGGGAGTGACCTTGGAACTGGGTAACTAGCAGAGATTGGAACAGTTTGGAGGGCTCAGAAGAAGACAGGAAAATGTTTGGAACCTCCTAGAGACTTGTTGAATGGCTTTGACAAAAATTCTGATAGTGACATGAACAATAAGGTCCAGGCTGAGGTGGTCTCAGATGGAGATGAGGAACTTGTTAGGAACTGGAGCAAAGGTGACTCTTGTTATGTTTTAGCAAAGAGGCTGGGGGCGTTTTGCTCCTGCCCTAGAGATTTGTAGAATTTTGAACTTGAGATGATTTAGGGTATCTGGCAGAAGAAATTTCTAAGCAAAGCATTCAAAAGGTGACTTGGGTGCTGTTAAAACCATTCTGTTTTAAAACAGAAACAGAGCATAAAAGTTCAAAAAACTTGCAGCCTGATGATGCAGTAGAAAAGAAAAACCCATTTTTTTGAGGAGAAATTCAAGTTTGTTACAGAAATTTGCGGAAGTAGCAAGGAGCCTAAGATGATGACATCCCTAAGACCACAGGAAAAATGTCTCCAGGCCATGTCAGAGGCCTTCACGGCAGTCCCTCCTATCACAGGCCCAGAGGCTCAGGAGGAACAAGTGATTTTATGAGCCAGGTCCAGGGTCCTCATGCTGTGTGCCAGCTGCTCCAGCCATGGCTGTAAGGGGTCAATGTAGAGCTCAGGCTGTGGCTTCAGAGGATGGAAGCCCTAAACCTTGCAGCTTCCATGGGGGTTTGAGCTTGTGGTTGCACAGAAGTCAAGAATTGAGGTTTGGGAGCCTCTGCCTAGATTTCAGAAGATATATGGAAATGCCTGGATGCCCAGACAAAAGTTTGCTGCAGGGGTAGAGGGCCCTCATGGGGAACCTCTGCTAGGGCAGTGCAGAAGGGAAATGTGGGGTTGTGGGGTCAGAGCTCCCACACAGAGTCCCTACTGGGGCACTGCCTACTGGAGCTATAAGTAGAGGGCCACCATCCTCCAGACTCCAGAATGGTAGCTCCATCGACAGCTTGCTCCGTGTACCTAGAAAAGCCACAGACACTCAACGCCAACCCGTGAAAGCAGCCAAGAGAGAGGCTGTACCCTGCAAAGTCATGGGGGTGGGAGGGGAGAGCTGCCCAAGACCATGGGAACCCACCTCTTGCATCAGCATGACTTGAATGGGAGGCCTGGAGTCAAAGCAGATCATTTTGGAGCTTTAATATTTGACTGCACCACTGGATTTTAGACTTGCATGGACGCTGTAACCCCTTTGTTTTGGCCAATTTCCCCCATTTGGAATGGCTGTATTTACCCAATACCTGTAACCCCACTGTATCTAGGAAGTAACTAACTTGCTTTTGATTTTACAGGCTTAGAGGCAGAAGGGACTTGCCTTGTCTCAGATGAGACTTGGGACTGTGGAGCTTTGGGTTAATGCTGAAATGAGTTAAGACTCTGGAGGACTGTTGGGAAGGTATGATTGGTTTTGAAATGTGAGGACATGAGATTTGGAGGGGCCAGGGTTGGAATGATATGATTTGGCTGTATCCCCACTGAAATCTCAACTTGAATTGTAGCTCTCAGAATTCCCATGTGTTGTGGGAGGGACCAAGGGAGAGGTAACTGAATCACGGGGGCTGGTCTTTCCCCTGCTATTCTTGTGATAGTGACTAAGTTTCATGAAATCTGATGGGTTTTATCACGGGTTTCCGCTTTTCCTTCTTTT